GGCTCTCCTCAGGGATGTGTGTTGAGCCCCCTCCTGTTTACTCTGCTTACATATGATTGTGCAGCTACCCATCCAGGCTGTCACATTGTAAAGTTTGCAGACGATACAGCGGTGGTGGGATGCATCACAAACAATGATGAGTCCAGCTACAGGCAAGAGGTGGAATACCTGGAGAGCTGGTGCAAAGATAATAACCTTCACATCAATGTGAAGAAGACAAAGGAGATGATTGTGGACTTCAGAAGGAACAAAAACATCTACACCCCCCTGAACATAAGAGGATCTGCGGTGGAAGTGGTCTCCAGCTACAAGTACTTGGGTGTACACATGAATGACAACCTCAGCTGGAGCAACAACACCACCACCCTTATCAAGAAAGCTCATCAGAGACTCTACTTCCTCAGACGGCTGAGACGAGCTGGTCTGGGAAGCTCAGTCCTCACCTCCTTCTACAGGTGTGCAGTGGAGAGCATCCTGTGCTCCAGCATCAATGTGTGGCATGGAGGCTGCACAGCTTCAGAAAGAAAAGCTTTGCAGAGAGTGGTGAAGGCTGCACAGAAGACTGTTGGAGTCAGCCTCCCCACCATCACAGACATCTACACCTCCAGATGCAGGTAGGGGGCCACCTGCATCATGAAGGACCACACTCATCCAGCACACACACTTTTTGCCCTGCTCCCATCAGGAAGGAGGTTGAGGAGCATTAAGTGTAGAACCACTAGACTGAGGAACAGCTTCTACCCTGAGGCTGTTAGACTCATGAATCTCTAACTAGAATAATCACTGTGAAAAATCACATCATATTGCTGCTGATCTGTTTCATGTTGCTGTTGATCTTTTTCAATGTTGATGTGTTCATGCATGCTCATCCGCTCACACAAACTCCTGTTTGTGCTGATGTTCAATGTTTTTATGTTATGAGTGCTTAGTGTATATTTAGTTGATGTTTTTCTTAGTTCATATCTTAGATGTTATTGCTGTTTTTCTTATACATTTTATTGTTGGATGTAACTGGGACCCTGTGTACATAATTTCGCTCCACCACATGTACCACATGAGGTGCGAATGACAATAAAGAAACTCT